GAGATCTTCTGCACTTCACTCAGCATGTGGAACAACAACCAGATTTTCAGCACCAACGTCAAGTCAGTGCTCCTGTATGGTTCAGAGACTTGGCACGTTACGAAAGGCATTTCCAACAAATTACAGACATTCATCAACAACTGCCTACACTGGCTCGTTACTGAAAATCAGATGGCCAGAATAATAAGAATAAGCAACAAGGAACTCTGGGAAGGAACCAACCAAGAACCTATCATTGAACGAATATGCAGAAGAGAGTGGAGATGGATTGGGCATACACTGAGAAGGCCGGTTGGAGACATCACACGTCAGGCCCTCGAGTGCAATCCCAATGGGAAGCGACGAGTTGGACGTCCGAGGGTGACATGGAGGAGATCGTGTGGGGAAGAAATGAGAGCTTCTGGTCTGTAGTGGAGCCAGGTTCAAAAGATTTCAGAGAACAGAGTTCACTGGAGACGTGCTACTGAAGCCCCACGTTCCATTAGGAACCCAATAGACTAATAATAAATAATAATAATAATAATCGCCGCAGACTATACTGACGTACTATCTGCACCAATGTATGCTTCTTACATTCCAATCAAGACCCACAAACTATCACGGCTTGTCACCCAGAAAGTTTCTTCACTGTGAAATCAGAATTAGAACACTGACGATGGTGAGTGACAGTTTCTCTCAGTGCTATAAAACTCTTGCTCTGCATCCATACTAGCAGGGTTGGGCTGGTAACTTTTGCCCGGAAATGACTGCAAAAATCGTCTTTTGAAAAGGCTTGGTCTAGCCGGTTTGGCTGAAACAAGCCGAATAGTCACGGCTCGTTCCTAGGTGCGAGCAGTGTTTTCATCTAGCTGCCACAGAAAAGCATTACACTGTAGGAAGCAACTTCGAATGGCCCTTGAGGAATGTGAGACAGGTCAGAGGTAAAATATCAGAGTTGCGACAGCTTCGTTCCCACCCTGCTGGGAAAAAATAATCCTAACCAAGACTTGAAGGCCGCCACATATCAGCGGCACTACAGTGAGAACGGGCATTATGTGTCTGCTCAGGAGAGACAATTAGCATATAGAGGTGTGTAGAGTGCCCGCGCTCGTGAGTAACCAGTACAATAGTGAAACGGCCACTGAAACTGCACTGGTAGGGCTTCCAAACCTACTATGGAGTCAAGTCACAGCCAGATGCGCCACGTACTTGATGAGCAAGGTCCATTGGTCACCCACTAGTGAGGTGGCATAGAAGCAACACCTACCACAAGTGAAGTGCACACTACCGACCACGGGATGCAACTGAGTTACTAAGGTGCCCCGACCCACTACCTGAACGGAAAGTTGTCTTGTTGAGCTAGGAGCTCTGCAGAAACTCCTAAACGGGCTGGGCTTGCTGAGAGTGAGCGAAACTGGACCACCTCCCTACCTGCAAATGACTACTTGCTGGGGACGTTCTCACCCAAGTTCCTCTTAGCAGCAGTCACTGTGCCACGGTATAGTTTGATCTGGCAGTCAATGGACGATAATCTTTGGATCCCATTCACCCTGGTCTCTTCGAATGGTGGTGAACCATCTCCCGGGCCTCAGTAATGGCGTTTGTCATACAGTGACCATTTCTGGCACCTGGAGAGGGACATAATCAGGACGTGGATTTCTTAAAATGCTCCCTTAGTTGTAGTAGCAGTGATAATGCTGACCCCTCGGAAGAGAGGAGATAAACAGCTACCTGTAAAGCCCTACGGCACAATGAGATTTTCCGTAAAACAGTCAGATAAAACAGCACGTACTGTTGTGAGAAACTGGTGAGCAATGAGGACGTGGAAAGGAGCCAGGTAGTTTCAGACAAATTTGTCTAATTGGTTGTAGCAAATCTCACGTATTGGTGTCGACTCATGGCGAATAAAAAGTTTGCCAGCCACCTATCACGCATCGCTAAAAGTCCAATTGTGAAGTACATCTCTGGTCTGATGACAATCAGAATGCCTAATGATAGCTTTTACGCTGTTCAACACCCCGTAATTCAGCCAAATGTAAAAACAAGCTTTCGGGGCCACTCGGCAAAGTAGAAACGCAGAAACTGCGGATAATAAATAGGTGGACGTTTTATTCTCATACTGTTAATTTGGCATGGGAGGAACCAGTTCACAGGTATCATAAATCTTGGCATGGTTTCTGAAAACTAACGTAGACTTCCCAGCACTCGGCAGATAAGCGAAAGGTACCATGGGGGTGGAAAGGAACCATCTTCCTTACCATCCTAGAGGGGGAGACAGGCACCCTTTAAGTCCACATATTACTAAACTTGAGCCAAGATCATTGGGTGCCGTGGCTCTGAAGGTCTTTCTTGCACTTCAAAAAACCTGTAGGTTTACAACGTATCTGCACCACCGCAACCTTAAAGAGACACTAACCCTTGGAGCAAGATGTACGGCCAGCCGCAAAGTGTTGTAGGAATGCGGGGAAAACTATGCTAGGGTGGACTAAGAAATGTACTCGCTTATAATCAAGGTTAGCATAAGATGCGTGATGACTAACTAATGGACCGCAAATTACTGAACCGTGTGAGTCACCCGGCCAGAGGACTGTTACATGAAGGGCAACACGGCAACCCCCGCAGATGCCCAAGCAGGACCGCCCGTAAAAAGCAGGAACCTGCGTGTGGTCATATTGATTTTCTCTCCGAGTCTGCGGGCACCTAAACCCAATACCCGCGGAGGCAGCGGGCCCCCCATCTTTGGGTATCTTAAAGATAAGATCCGAAATCTACACGGTGACACATGAGTGTGCTCATCCTGTGGAAGCAGCTGATCACTATCACGTCGTTTATATGCTCTCCAGTTCTTTCACATCGACTAGTTCTCCGCGTTACTATTATTGTGGAAACAATGCAGTCTCACATGCCTCTTTTTGACTGCAGCTGTCACCGAGTCACTATCACCACTACTTTCTGCCTTCGTGCCATTCCTGTACTAACTTCCCACTCTCCCACTCTGTACTTTAAATCTATCCATTCAAATTGTCCATATCTCTGTTTGTTTTCTCGTCTTCTCCCAGCTAACAGATTTTAAGCTTTCCTTCTTTCCCCTACATTCTTCTTTCGTAGCCTTCCGGATCCTTTTAATTTTGTCGTGCGACCTAATAGCTGTCTGACGATACAGCTTTCGAAGATCCTATCAACATCACCGTCCTGGAATGTATCATACACCTGATTATGGGTTTGGCCAGCACCTAACCACCCCTCAGTTTAACCAGAGACGGAAAGCAAATAGTTGGGTTTACTGTATCATAGCCTGTCTGAAACCTGGGACGATTTCTTAAGACCCAAATAATGAGCCCACAGAAATCACCTTGTGCATACAAGCTTATCAGACAAACATGGCAGACAGGCGTATATTGGGGACGTGGAAAACTTCAAACTCCGTTTATTTTGAAAAAGTGGACGACAGCCCTTTAGTTTCTACACCTGTCCTAATGGGATACGTTCTCCGTTAGGAATGCCTGATGACTTTTCCTCCTCTGAACAGTATGAAAAGATAGAGGAAATCGATTATTAGGTAAGCAGTTTTGTGCAGGTACTGCTGCTACCCACGGCCCGTAACACTATGGGTCGCTTATTCAGCATAGCTCATCTGTACCACAGGACTCTAAGTAAGTTTCTTTTTTCATTTCGAAGGCATCAGAAGAAAGGGCCAGACAACTTACCTGGGAAGCGAGCTCGACAGTTTACACAAACAAGTTAGTGCGGACCATCGTACGTGCTCCCTCTCATGCTTCACCCTTAATGATGGGGCTCCTGATTAAAGCTTATGGGCTATCGGCTGCGATGAGGAGGATTACAAGTGGTATGACACGTCATAATCGTGCCCTCCCTGGTACCCATGTATTGGGCTGAACACCCTAGGTCTTGTCTGACCTTTCATAGTCAGTCTACCGTACCTCCTGACTAGTGTTGTTCCAGAGTATGTGACTTGGAAATAGAAATATAGAAGGAATTAGGCTCATGGCTAAATCTTCCAAGACAGCCGTAGACCTATAGGTAGGATATACCACAGGCGTGAATGGTAGGAAAGCGGCCTAGTCGGGATACCGTATCGTCGACGTGTTCAGCGAATCGGTTTTCCATTAGTAATTCCCGCAATTATCTTGTAAGAGCAGATGGAATGGTGGTGGTGAGGAGCTGAGGAAAGTTGGTATCAGTTTGGGCTGAAAGGAGTTGTTAATGAACTGCAGGACACGGCTTTCATCATACTTTTGAGGTTCTGAGATAGGGGTCCTCATTTTCCAACTAAGTAGTGAGTTATTCTAGTAGTTGATTTCAAGTTGAGTAGGTAGTGTAGCTACTCTACCAAAGTTGCTGCTGTTTTACATATTGGTGCTATTTGATGCTATGACTTGTGTACGCTTCTTCTTTTGCTAGTACTGTGGACCTTCTTGGATGAGGCACTCGCACTGGTCGTTGAAGGAACCTGTTCCATACCCATGGTTGTAGGGTAGCAGTCCATAAAAGTGTTATTTCAATGAGTTGACTTGATCGAGACTGCTTTTACGTCGAGAAATTTGGTAATGGAAATTAGAACAGGTATACTCTTAGTGCTATACGCCCAGCTACTCTAATCTTTCAGAGTGCTTTTCACACTATAAAACATTTTCTGAGTGAAGTCATTTAGCCCAGGGGCCTCAAATGTGGGACGATCAAAGACATCTTATAAGCTTTTGGTCTAGCTGATACTTACTTCGGGTCGGATATCAAGAACACAAGTGCCGATCAACATGAAAAAGGATAGTAATCAATATGTCATGAAAACTGGGAGCAGTGAGTCCAGTGTGAGCAAAGTTCACAATTCGGCGTTCACGAGGAGTGTCTGACATTTGTGTGGAACACCACAAGAACGAAGTTAGACTCAGTACTCAGGCGAAGTTAGACAGATTCGCGCAAAATGTATTGAGGCAGATACTAAACCAAGACATGGAAAATATTTCAGTTTTATTAAACATGTACCAAAACCCTCTGTCCCTATGCAAAGTGTACACGGGGAATTATCTGTTGCAAGCATTGTATGTGTGACTCTTTCTGATACCTTATTAATTATAATGAATTATCACAGTAATACCAGTCCCAAAGGTTGATATTCGATACTATCCTCCTAGCCTAAATCATGTCTAAATGCTGCGACCCTGATCAAGGTCATCCAGATAAGTCACAACAAAAGAGATGTGAGGGATATTTGTACACTGCAGTAGGGCATAGTTGCACATTAGATGGTTTTTTTCTTATGCTATGCAGTTAAGTATTATTGCTTTATGCACAATGTTTTGAGCTCAATTTAATGATCATCTTATCAACCCAGTGTTGTCACTTTGGGGAGGCTGCAACAGTTTTGAAAGAAACGCTTAATTTTGCGTACTTTAATTAGCCAAGTGTAACTTCGGGGAAGTACTGGGTAGGAGGACGAACATCAAAGGAATATTTAGGAGACATGCGAACTCTAAGGATGAGGATTAATTAATTAGTCCTTATTCCCCTCGGCTTGACAGTAGTTCCAATCCTCAAAGATTTCTACCTCAAAACTTTCCAACATTTTTACTAAAATTTGTCTCGTTTTGTCGCTACCTTCGGTGGCTATCATCTGACTTCCGGTTTATATATATATATATTTGTGTAACTTTGGCTTCTTTGTCTTTTACAGAAGGGAAATTCAGTGTATGCTCCGAATGGATCTGAAATTGTTCTTGTTGCTTATGTTAGGTGTTGATATCCAACATGAATAGTTGGAGTATAGGGAGCTGGTAGGTTTTGATTTCTCACGTCTGGGTTTGTTTTTGTTTCTGTAATGGACATGGAAACTTCTCTTGCTTTCCTGCTGGTGAGATGAGTTTTTTTCTGTGAGTTAATGTTCGCAACTTGTAGATTGTGTTTGTTAGGAAGCTACGGGTTTATAGGAGTATTTGGGCTTTCGTGACTGCTGCCCTTATAGGTGCTTAAATCTGAATAGCGAATTTGTGGGAAATGACATATGGGTCGTTCCTGAAACATATAAGTAGACAGCATGAGTTTAGTTACCGGAAAAGTTAGGAGACAGTGTGAATGTATCGAAATATAAAGCTAAGTATCAAATAAGGGGGAACGACTAGCGAGCTTATGAGTGCTTTGAGTACGTCACTTGTAAGCCACACTAATTAATGTAATTGTTTAAAGTTTTGGATGAGACGGTTGTAACTACATCCCGTGGCAAAGGATTCCATAAAGCATATACTTTAGGGGGAAAAGCTTGACCTAATACTGATTTGGCTGTCTAGTCTGCTATTCTGATGAGGTTCCCTCGTGATGGCCATGTTGCAGGTAAAGTTAGATTATACATGTGACTCTCCGCTGGATAGTCTTGTAGAGCACAATACCGTCACCCCTCTTCCTAAGACAGCCTCAAAAAAAACAGTTTCAAATGCTTCAGCCCGTCAGAATGCGTTTTTCACCCTATTCCAATATTAGTAGTAAGAAGGATGGGCAAGGAAATTTTATGTGAAAGATCTCTGATGAACAGAAGTGGCCTCAGGATTGCTTCCTGGTATACCCCGATGTTGATGATCTCCACTTAAGCCGTATTCTATCCACTTTTGTGCAGAACTGTCTGCCTTGGTGGCTTTGAACCTAGAAAGCATAAAGTGGATTACGCCGTCCAACTCAACCTTGTAAAGTAGGACTTCGTGCAGAACACCCACACGTCTAGGTAGAGAAGAATGACATATGCTGGTTTTCTGGTGTTTCATCTAAACGTCCAGTCGTCCCAGGCAGTCAGTCAGCAAGTTGGTAGCGTATGAAGGACCACTCCGGAAGCCATGTTGAGCAGTGTGAACAGTGTTTTTTGTTAAAGAATTCCCAGACCTCATCTACAACGATCAGGCTTCCCAATACTTTTAGACAGTATGGAGAGTAAGGCAATCGGTTGCCTGTGCTTTTTCTGCCTTCTTCCTTGAAAATGGGTGACAAAATGACGCACTTCCATTCTTTAAAAAGCCTGCATGACTCTAGCGAGTGCTTAGAGAGGTCACAGATTGGTTTCTCGAGTACCTCACAGCAGTTCTTCAGAACTGGGAGTCTCAGATTGTCACAGCCAAGAAAGGTGTCTGGATGAGACCTGGATAATTTTCCTGGTCTTTTTTTTCTGTGTCATGGAGATGTGACAGAAGTATTCATTCCTATCCATTTGGCCAGGGTCGTTTCATTCCGGTGCGGGTTTGGTGTCAGAAGTTGTAAGCATGAGCTCAGAAGCTCAGCTGTTTCAAAAATTGGCCAGCACCATTGTGAGATTAACTCTTTTGGTAGTCAGTTCCCTTTTCGAGATGAAGGGGTCAGACAAACGAAATCAACGTAGAACCTTGCACACAAGCGGATCGGTTCAAGTTGTCACAATTTATAGTAGTATACAAAGAACAGGCAGATAGGAGAAAAGTGATATCAGAGTAAATAAAGTGAGAGGAAAGAAAATTGAAGATAATGGCTAGGGCAAATATTCAAGCTTTAGATGTCAAAGAGTGAATACATCCGAGTCATTGTAACCGATTTTCAGGCATTCCACAAGAGTCACCAATCATTGGTTCCTATCATTTCGAGGGTACTGAGGCGTAGCTCATTGGTTTAGGGAGATGACTTTTAGCCATCGGGTCACATGTTCGAACTCCCTTCCACCCACCGAGGTTTGGGGAACTAGATAGTATCATTGGCTTTCACACAATAGGTGTGGCCCATTGCATACCGCACAAATGTATTCAAGGCTGAGTGGATTTCATTCATCACCTCAGGTACCCCAGTCAGGCAGTTCACATCCCTTACACGGCTCAGACCAACAGTCAGGGACTTCATGGACTAGTGCCACGTCTCGGTCTGACCACCCTGAACCCTCTTCCAACCTAATCCAACTTCCCTGAGTATTGCACGCCGAGGTAGGCGGTGGCTTGGTCTGCGCGGTATATGCTCAAGCCATCCCAGTCGGTCGAGGTCCACAATCTCATCAATCAATTTGCTTGTCATGCCTAGTATCCTTCGCATGACCCCAACATTGCTCATACGGTGATTCCACCAAACCCGAGTCATTCTAGGAAGACACCTATGACCAAAACCCTGTAACTGCTTCATGTCTTCTACTTTTAACGGCCATGTCAGCCGTTCAACAGGACAGAATGGCCTGTATACTTGTAGGTAGTCGGATATCTCGCCAGTCAGCCCCAAAGATGATGGAAATTAGCAAGTGACAAGCTGCCCTTCTGTATTCGAGATGACATTTCGTCAGTGACCAGCTCGGTCGGGCTGAAGAAATATTCCGAGTGTTAAACCCGGTAAGTATGCCTCTGTTCCAGGACCTGTCATAGGGTGAAAATATGATCGATCCACCTTTGTCCAGGTCTGAAACCTGTCCGATTTTCTTGTTATTCTCAAGCTCCAGTTAGGCGTCGGCTAATTATGGACCCTAGGGTTTCGCACACAGTATTGGTCAAACTGATTCCTGTATGGTTGTCACAGGAAGGCTTCTCCCTCTTCAAATAGATTGGGATGATCAGTGAACCAGTCTGATGGCACTACCTCCGATTCCTGTACACTGCTTAGTAACTGTGTCGCTTTAATTAACGATTTCCCACCTTCATCCTCGAAAGATTCGGAAAACTGTCAGATCCAGCTGCTTCACATCGTTCCAAGATCGATACAGTCTTCTCAACTTCAGGAAGAGTTGGGGGACCAATATCTATGCCCCACTCGGGTTCAAGCTGGATGTTGGGCAACTGAATCGTTGCTGGAGGCGCGTTGAACTCTCTCAGTGTTTTACATAACCTCCTAGCCGTCTCTCCTGCGAGATGAAGCAGTACAGATTTTTCGGGTTACTTTGTGACCTTTCTCCAGGTTTGATTGATAGCTAAACTCCGTCTATGTGGACTCTTGTTGCATTGGTTACCAATTCTTTTGTAAATCAAGGATCCTGATTGTCTGTGATGAAAGTCATTTGAACCGTGCCTGCTTTTTGCTCTGGAGTAGTCTCTGTATTCCGCGCTTCAGCCATTAGATTCTCATTCGTTGGTGTGTTACCTCTGGCATACTGACGGATGACCCCGAGGATTATTTCCTTCACCTGTCTCCAGATTTCGTTTGTTGTGAAACGGTCCCACTCGTCAAGCCATGTTGCATTTATGAGGTTATGTCATGCTTTCATGGTTCGATCTGCAGTAGCAAAGAAAGCTATTCGGTTTCTCCGGTTTCAGAGCCTTTTTAGTGGTCATGGAGAAGGTTATTACTGTATGATCTCTGCCGCCGATAAGCGGCTAAACATATATATTCGCAATGAGAAGGTCGTCGTTCGTTATAACGTAGTCCAGGCCTGATGCACTACCGATAGGCCCCCATCCTGTTAAATCACCTTTCTCTGAAACCAGCTGTCTTACATTGACTTTCACAATTTCTCTCCAACGATGGCCTATACCAATATAATCTATATGCGTCCGTTGCTGGTTTGATATTGGTAGACACAACACGAGACAGTCTTTATGCGTGAAGTTAGTGCTATCCAGAAACAAGCGATTTTTAGAACAAAATTGCAACAGACGATCACTGTTTTCAGTTTTTTGGCTTAGTATCCTGTAGATACTTTCGAGACGCCTTTCCTACTGGTTCAGCTCCTACTTAAGCGTTAAAACTTCCTGTCATTATGAATTTATCTGAATGTTTTGCCTTCTGTAACAGAATTGACAGTCTCTACTAGAATTCACCCATTAGATCATCCGAACTTCAGTCAGTGGGACGTGAAGGCGAAGATTACGAGGAAGTATTTTCTAGCCTCATCGCCCTTCCTCATTCTGGCAGATCCACTCATTCGAACACCACATAGACGACTATTGACTGGTGTCCAGTCGAGAAGTGCGCTTTCTACTCTTCAAAATCTAGTGCTCTACATACATACTAGCATGTTCACGATGACTAGCCATCTCATCTGTGCATATCCGCAAATTGAACCTTGAAGATTCAGAGGAATGGCCAGGTTAAGTCGAGTAAATAATCACACTTGAATCATGTATGCGTGTGTCAGGAGCACAAGATACATCCATGGCTTGAGCTATGCCTCCTCTTGGATTTAGCATATGGTTTGGACGTTGAAAGCTGCAATATGACATCAACAACCGGGGCTTAATAAACTAAGAATGAGGTTTCGATGGAAGTAATCGTTGACAATGGTTGCAGAATGAGAGGTTGGGGAATTTGTGGAAGAATTAGTGTTGTTATCCGAAAGTGAAAACGAAGGCGGACACAGTGGTTAGGAGCGTAGGTTACTTTTGATTGAAACTTCTATAATACTGACGTTTCCCGGGTGCCCACACCATGGAACGCGGTTTCTGCAGGGTACTTGAAAGATAAAATAATTTGTGACCGCAAAGCCCATAGGACATCTGCTTGACGCCTGTCATACAACTTTTTGAGGACTGTTGGTATGCCGGATAGGAAAAGCCCATACCACTGGAAACCACTTGAAAGGTAGCATTTGCATGGTCATGCCCTGGAAACCTTACTGCTATCACACCCCTGTTCAGACAACGGTACGACTTCACTCTTGGACCCCCATTATAGTGTAGTAATTTACACCACAACGGTAACTGCTTTTCGTCTAATCACTGTCCAACAGACCTTTCTGATATGGTAGGACCTCGAAGGAACAAGTGTTCCACCAGCATAGCTCGTTGGGTCATTGTGATATGCAAGCCCGACGACCACATCAAGGTGTCAGCTATCAGTTAAGAGATACTTGACGTTTAGTCCTCTTCACTTGGCCAACGAGTTTAACCGTGAACTCAGAATGTGTGTGGAACCAGTTAAGATGTTTCCTAAGGAACGTAGCTCCGAAGGAAACAAAAGCTTAAGTAACTGGGCAGTTGAGACGACCAAGAATGTTACCCTTGACCTAACTTTCTTAAAAAACGTGAGCAGCTTTCCAGACTTTTTCCTTTGATGGCAACACTATAAAGGCATCGAATTTCTGTATTGTTCACATCCTAAGGACCGCTATTTCCTGACAAATAACTGCTACCTAAATGTGGTGACTGGGCTCGCATATGACAATGACCCAACGAGTTATGCGGGTGGGACGCTTGTTCTCTCAGGGTCCTACCATGCCAGAAAGGTCGGCTGGATAGCGGTAATATAGAGAGCAGTTGTCGTTATATTGTAGATTTCGGCTTTATGATGAGGGTCCAAGGGTGAAGTCGTATCGTTTTCTGGGTGGGTATACGACAGCAGTTAGGTGTTTCTCGTGGATGACCAGTAGTATCATTTTGATGTCTTCCCTATGGGAGGGGGGGTCTAGAAAATATCCACCCTGCCGTCTATTCTGCGGTCGTCTGGTGCCGGTTATATGGGTTTCCTAGCTGTATTCAAAACAAAATTAAACGTCAAACTTTCGAAAATGTCGTGTGATACTGACCTCTAGCAGGTGTCCTATAGGCTTTACATCTACACATTATCTTCATTTTAATAGTCGCTCCGAATTCGATTGTTGTTCATTCCTTCCTTGTCCTCTTTTCACGACTTCTACATGTCTACTGTTTTCCTTATTTCTCTATTGTTCATCTTAGTGATCACTCACTTGATGTGTAGATATTCGGTGCGGAAACGTGAACCGTTATATAGTAATGTCAGGTCAACCGTGTCGATATTGTCCGATTAGCTAACTTCTTCAATTATAGCATCAGTATAGGTTGACGTTTCTGTCCTGGTTTGGTTGGTGAGTATAAATAGCTGTGTATCATTGCCGTCACTTTTGCCTTTTCCATCTTTAACCGTGGTTTTCCACCGTTGCCCACGATCGTTGGGCTCGTTCCTTGGGTAACATATTTTGAAATTAGATGCACTTACGTGGGTGCATTGTATTGTCTTTGATAAACGATGAAAGTGTATTTAGTCTGAATCTATCAATTCTTTTTCCACACAGCCTAGTCTCATTCTCGATTTTAAAATACTTCTACTTTTCATTTCTGTATATCTCGATGCTGTTGAATAGTTTGGACATCTAAAAGAATGTACTTTTGACGTTCTATCATGTATTGGTAGTCGGTCCCTTCTACTGATTATCCATGTCTGGTTCTACTTTTCCGATATTTTCGTAGTATACTCCCAAGGTGCTTTCGCACAATGCTTTGATGTTTAAATAACAAAGTTGTAATTTATTGATGTAGTCATATTCGAGCCCTGCTTGAGAAATTCTAATAGTAACCTCATGTTTCTAAACTTTACAAGAAAGTAGTAATTTTACCTGTTTCTAATTTATTTTGCAGATGAATCACTAATCATTTTGAGCAGAAAAAGACCTATGTCTCATTCATCCAATCCCATAAAATGCCTCGCAGTTACATTCTATCGACATTTGCAACCTTTACGCTTTGCTTTGAATGTTTTTGATTTGTTCATATCCTTCAAACATATCAACATCACGAATCAGAAAAATCCATTACTTTCTCAAGCTGTGCAAAACTGCTATCTTCTTGGTCATGTTGAACCATACTTATTATTAATAGGTGGATCGTCTCTGCATTTGCAAAACCATAAAGTCATCATGGAATAGAGGTCAACTTAAATCTCCTTTCGGTTTCTCGATCAGCTCAGTCTGTATGTTTTGACTTATTTCATATTTTACTATCTTTCCTAAAAAGCGTTCTATATAATGTTCACAATTCATTTTTATGACTTTATATGGTATTAATAAGAGTCTTTATTCAAAGCACTTTTCTTTATATTCCTTTATATTCAACCAAAATCTAATAGTAAAACAGCTTAAGCCATACCTTAGCGCTATCAAGAATACCATACTTATAGCTACATATATCCCACTGGTAATCAGTGTCGTTTAGTCATGAGGCAGGATCAAGTCAAAGATTATGCCACTTAACTCTTCCCATAAAGACGGATACCCTGTCAACAATATAAATGGTGCTTACTGATAACTCCTACCTGAATTTTCATTTGGTCACTTCAAATCCCACAACTAAATTACAACCAACACAAATCATAATAAATGCTACGTCTGGTGGAAGATGTAGAGTTGTTACTTCGGTGGGTACATTGAGGTTTAAAGAATTATAGTTTAATTGAATGGCTCAAAAAATACAAGGAACATTGCATGTGAACGTGTAACCTTAGTTTTCGAAGATAATTCAAACTACATGTATTTGACAACAGCTGTTTGGTGTGACATTTACAAATGAAAATTATAATCATTTTTAACCTATGATTCAGTCATCAATTCTAACACTGCAGGTCCAAATAAGTAGATGCATCTAACGTTTTACTTTTTAGGAGTAGCTTAGATTACCTCTGTCACAATACGGATACATGGTTGGTCGACTTGAAATTTGTGAAGAGAACACTGTAATTAGACAGAAACGCTTCCACATCAAACTCAGTTTCGGATGAATTAAGTTTAAAACCTTGTCACGTCGTTGACTAACATTTGCGTTAGTTGGAGCATACTTCGCACTTTTCCATCTATTTATCTTACAAGCAAAATCCAAAGTAATAATTGAATTGGAGGCAACTTTTTAACGTATGAATTAAGAGATCATTCATCGCTATGTGAAAGGAATTTTCGATTCCATGAAGACCTTGACATACTAAGAACCCTTATTTATTAACTAAATTCCCCACATTTTCATAGGATGCTGCTTGAAGAATTTCAAAAGTACATTTTTTTAAATTTCACTGCGATAATATTGTCTAACGCGGTACTAAAAGCACTCGTTAGTTCAGTTCACAAACAGGCTTTGCTGATGCATGTCTACACATGAAAAGCTAATTCACAGCTTCGTGCCCTCCCCAAGCGACGTCAAACAGTACGAAGTGGTGTCGAGTTATTAGGCTTGGTAGTCTTACTGGAAACGTGATCAATAGAAGTTATTCAAAATTTAGGACAAAAAAATAAAGGAATTTGCCCACTAAATAGTCACTAACTAATATCCGCTGCTCAGTAGCAAGACGAAAATGTTGGTGGCGATCTTTGTTTGCTACATTTGGTACTTTAAGGTCGATATTATATTGTTGTTTTTGTCTTAGTATTTTCTGTGAGTTTCACCTAAAATTTTAATATTGCTGCATGTATTTACAGCTGATATGGGTACCTGGCTTCTGGAAAACTCTCAGTTTAATGCCATGCGCCTAGAAGAAGTTATCTGTCAATTAATTTGGCAAGTTACTCAGTCAGAACCCAGCTGCTCACTGGAACGTTTAATTAAATATCTTGACGATGTATATAACGACGTGAGACTTCCTAAACCTTCATTGAGAGAAGTAAATAGTTCTCTGTCAGCATTAACTAGAGCTGGAGCTATATATTTTAGTGGTAATTCACATGTTTAATATTCAAATTTCATAGCTAATCTTATATTATTCCTGCATTAACGTCGTATTTGTTTAAATAATTCGTGTAGTCAAATTATATGTAGCTGAAGATATTAATCCCTTTTTAATTATTATTGGTAATCTGTCTTACACTGTACAGTTTTTTTGACTTAGTGGTAAACGCTTGCTCAAAATAAGGGATAGAAACAACGTGTTTTTACGTGCTAGTTACTAATTTTGGCAACAATTTAAAAATAATAATAATAATATCTTTGGTTTCGTATTGCAAACTTCAAAATATTTTATTTTGCATTCCATGCATATCTCTGCTTGTTTTGAGATGGTACAGGAATATCTCAGAAAACGAAGAAAATTTTGAACATTTAATACACTACTATATTCTGTTGGAGCGAATGGGAGCAAAATCTTGCCTTTTCCACCTCGAGTCTTTACTGTTAGTTTAGAGATTAAAATTTCCACTCAATTTCATCTTATCATAGGTTTATGTAATATAATACTTCTAAAGGAGATGACATTCTACACATTTGTTTAACTTTTATTTACCTACCCACCTTACATAACGGATTCGAAAAGTAGTGAAGTGAACAATCATGTTATCCTCGGAGAAACTTCATGTTATTTACTCATTACAGTTTTTACTGTGTTGTGCCTGATATAAGGTATATGATCTAATTTGAATGGATTAAAATCTGAAGATGCGAATCCTCACGTGTTTCATGAAACTACTATCCTTTACTTGTAGTTAGCTGATCTATTTCACTCATGAATTCCCTAGGTATGTAGGGTTGTTAAAAGTAAGTCGAAGTCTGAAAGTAAACTAACAGTATAAAGCTAACGTTATACAAGTCTCACTAGTTGATTTGTAGATAGTCATGATATTCAAATCGTTGTTGACTCTAAAGTAGCATGAACAATGCAAAGTGTTGCTAACGTTGGTGTAATAAGTAACCAGTGCTCAAATAGAGTGCAATTCAGCAACTATGTATGCGTTCGTGGAGTAAGCAGTGAACCATACTTAATGTATGATGGCTGAAGATGCTACTTGACTACGCAACTACAGTATGTGTGGCGATGTTTGAGGCTGTTATCCGCTTTTCGAAACTCCAATGCTTATACCAACGAGATGTGGCTCCAAATAATCACTTTTTATTACTTCCACTGAACTTCCCATAGCATTATATCAATCAGTCAATATCAACAAGGAACCTAGTATTACTACATAACGGTTCAAATTGCCACACCTCATATCTATACATCAAGTGAGTGATCACTAAGATGAACAATAGAGAAATAAGGAAAACAGTAGACATGTGGAAGTCGTGAGAAGAGGACAAGGAGGGATTGAACAACAATCGAATTCGGTACGATTATTAAAGTGAAATTAATGTGTTGATAAATCTGTGCTACTAAGATCGATTCTGAACCATATCATCTTGTCTCTAACCACTGGTTACTGTTGTCACAGAAGTTGTACTGCAGTGTGTTCTGGCTCCTTTGAATAGTCTGTACACATCTGTAGTTGATGTGATCAGTGTGTGTTGACTTCCTGTACACTAGTTGCCAATTTTCCATCATTGGTTCTTCTAAGTCATCTGGGAATTTTAGTTGACTGTTCAACTCCACTGTGAATTTGACGTCGTTGAAAATTGTTGTTGATCAAACTGAAAGTGTTCTTTAATTCATCCTTTTTAATGATAAAAAGGTATCGTCCACATAACTGATCCAAACTGTCGGTTTGATCACGCGTAAAATGGTGGCTTGCAGTCTCTGCACGACTGCTCCTGTAACTAATCCAGGTATCCAAATTGGAGTTCTTTTCATCTGTTTGTATATCTTACCATTAAATCGCATGTTATTAAACAAAGGTCGTTGAGTTCCATCGAACTTGGACACTGTAGTTTTGTGCGTTGGTGAGCTCCACTTGCTTTTCCGGGAACACAATGCTATATTTGTGCTCTTATTGCTAGTACACACCACATCGTCCTCCTAGAAAGTCGTTTCTACTACCTTACTAATGACCTGACAACTAGTTTGTTCTCTCTCATCCGACTTCTTGATATAAATAGATCCTATTCTGAACTTGGGTGACGTTCACTCGTTTCTGGATGTGTTAGACCGTGTCGTGCCTCTGAGTGACATACGGTCTCTCTCTCCTGCACCTTACCCCCGCCCTGTCGTACACCTTCGTCCTCTACACGTCACTTGTTCTCCAACTTTGAATGGTTTCCCTTTCTTACCTTCTTTCTGCTCCGACGCATGGTTCATTGATCTAAGCAGTTGATTTTCAAACATTTGTTGACTGTTTCTTACACCACCTCATCTGCAAAGGTTTAAGCAGTCGGAAGTACAACCAACTCTCACACAAAAATTGTAGCTCGTTGCCCAGTGCACAAAATTACACACAATTACTGACTTACAGTCTTTTGCCTTCTTTTACCATTTTATGAGTTCTATGCCTTTGAACTCTGTGTTTGAATACACTATGTGTAAGTAGTTCAAACGATTCGGTTTATCGACATTTTGTACAACCTTTATTTTCATGTAAAATTAAATGTATGTTGCAGAATATATACATTGATAGTTCTTTCAATTCATTGTATGCGCATATCCTGCTGATGAAAAATATATATATTTGTTTCTTAGGTCGAGGTTATAACCTTTTAACACCAGAGAAGTTGGCTGTTGCAAAGTGGCTTGAAAGTGTACCTGAAACGTGTTCAGTTGCCGACAGTATCTTAGATTACTCAATACAAGGAAAGCGCCAATAGCAGAAACAGAACTCTTTGGCTCAAATGTTTCATCATCGGATCGAGTTAACTCTCCAGATAATAATCAAGGCAAGGATCAACTTTGTGCTAGTAAACATAAATTCGGAGGTAATGAACATTATCGAAACACTAGTGCTTTGATGCCAGTCCCTGAAAATGCTGAACAAGATCATGTTTTAAAGTCACACACTTTGCATTCCATGAGTTCAGATCAATATCAAAACGGTCCTATGCGTCCGTGTAATCCGATTACACCTGTTTCACTTTCCAGTGTTCGCTTAAAGTCTTCCGATTCTCAGTTTCCGATAAGTTACGAAACAAACAGAATTAATGGTCGTTGTGCATCTGGGTTAATTACGTCTTCGAAAGAAAAACATAATGTAGCTAATGTAGTTAGTGTAGACGGTTTTTTCACAACTGCATAGAGCTCAACCTGGACCGACAGTTTTTCATACTGTCGATCAATCTGAAACTGGAGTAATTAGATTCTCAAAACATGCCAAACTACCATCCACCAAAAAATGTAAGTCATTTCCTATGTCTTCTTGTTTTACTTTTGTGCGTAGTATTTTTTCTTCACGAATGAAGTGTGAATCTCGGTAGTTATGTGAAGTGCTAGAAGTAAACTTTTCTGAACTAATCCAAACAAGACTAATTTCTTAAGCGAATGCGTATCTTATCACTGCAATTGTCTGTGTATTTAACGTGTTAACCTTCCATCCTTTTTTAGGTAAATAGGTGTGTGCCGCTGTAGCCTTTGCATTTTAAAGCAAAACTTCAAAGGATTGAGAGCACTTATCAAACTATGCGGTCATTCGTTACTTTTTCATGGTTAGCACTATATGTCATTAATAGCCGGGACCATTGACTCTAATTAATCTTATGAATACACTTAAAGCATATTGACTAAAAGACTTATGGTGTGAAAATTGATCAAAAGGTTGTTGAGAAATGCAGTTACTTTCCGAACAGCGTATTACTTAACGGATAATTTTGTCTCTTATATCGCAAGATCTGGATACTTGTAATTGTACTCATTAAAATCGCACTCGTAGTGTGACAAGATTGGTTTTTTTATAACTGGACCATTTGAACTCACGTTAATGACTATACTTCGAAAACCCTGTGAAACAGCACGAATACTATTCATTTCTACACTCCTTTTATTATCTGGTCATTAACTTTGTTGGTGTTCGCTTTCTCATGTTAATATCATTTTTGAGTAACCGTATCAAGAATCAAGTGAGCGTTGTCAGTGACTATTGCAGCACCGTATTCTGAGTTATACCTAGGATATATAATAAAGGAAAGCTACTTTAAAAATTCCCTACCGATAGCTGCTACCTTGACTTAGTGGTCGAGCTTGCATATGACAATGACCGAACGAGCTCTGCTGGTGGGATACTTGTTCCCTCGAAGCCCTACTGTATCAGCAAGGTCAGTTGAATCGTAGTAAGACAGAAAGCGATTACTGTTATCGTGTAATCTGTTTCGCCATGACGAGGGTCTAAGGACGAATTAATACTGCTGGCTGAACTGGGTGTGATGGTGGTAAGGTGTTTCCTGTGGACGACCAGCAGTGCCATGCTGATGTTGCCTTCCCTATGGAAGGGTAGTCGTAAAACGTCGACCCTAAACGCAGCACACTTTACCGTACGGCTTACCGCTGCTGGTGATACGGGTTCCTAGTCGGGTTCACAAAAGCAAACTGAAATGTCAAGCTTCTAGAAAGGCCATGTGTCACCGACCTGACGCAGATGTTTGTGTGGTAACGTACTAACCCTTCTTTTTCAGACACCTCGAGAAGAACCAGTCTTCCTCGATGTGGGCAGCCGGGAAGTGTCAACCCCCGTCACAACTGTCAGCTCTCAAGTTCCCTCAGATCACTATTCATCTTCTATTCTTCCTTCACATCTCTCAGCCAACATTTCTACTTTGTCTTTAATTTCTTCCTACCGACCAATAGCTGCTACCTCGACGTGGTGGTCGGGCTTGTTGGTGGAACACTTGTTCCCTCGAGGTCCTACCATATCAGAAAGGTCTGTTGGACAGTGATTAGACGAAAAGCAGTTACCGTTGTGGTGTAAATTACTACACTATAATGGGGGTCCAAGAGTGAAGTCGTACCGTTGTCTGAACAGGGGTGTGATAGCAGTAAGGTTTCCAGGGCATGACCATGCAAATGCTACCTTTCAAGTGGGAAGGGGTATTAGAAAAGGTCGACCCCAAAATAACACTCCACCATACCCCACGGTCCACCTGGCCGGCGGTATTGGTTCATTTGTCGTTTCTTTTTGACCATCCAACCCCAAAACAACAAAGGTTCGAAATAATCACACACAGAAGGCTGCGTGTGAAAGGCCTCAAGCAGATGTCCTATGGACTCTGCCGTCACACAAATCTCTTTCAGGTTCCTTAAGAAGAAATAGCGTTCCATGGTGTGGGCACCCGAGAAGTGTCAACCGCCCTCACAACTCTGTCAGCACTCAAGTTTCTTCAGTTTCTTCCTACTCTGCAGCTATCGACAAATATCTGAGTTCACTGAAAGCAATCACTGGTCTCCTGAAACTGCATTGCAGACCACACAATGCCGTCACCCTGGGTCAAATCAGCCAACAACTTATGCTAGCCAAAACTAGCATCTCGGGCCATGGATGTGTGCTATGTTTGTGAGAAACGCATATAAGACCGGAGTGTGGTTATTCGCTTAGCCTTACAAGATCAATATGGTGAATCCAGAGAAATATTCACTCTTCGAGTTTCTGCAGAGCAATGGTTAGTTATAGCTGTCTTGCAAATGTAGGCATAGCATTCAATGTTAAGGCAGAAATTGCTCTGCTCGGCTAGATCCTGATTGACAGCCGCCTGTGCGCTGTTCCAGTGAACGGTACAGTAGGGTCTAAGAAGGATATTGAGACTTGTGTTTGTCTTTCTGTGATCTCTGCTTACGTATTCAGTGACTGCAGTTCGGATGAAGTAGAAGATGAGTTTGAAAGCGAGACGTTCAGAATTGGTTGCTGTAGCAGGTGACTTCAATATACAAGTGGGTAGGCTAAATCAGACAGAAAGACACTTGGGTAACAGTTTTGGAATCCCAGCCGTACGAACAGATAGTGGTGATTGCCTGCTACAGTTTCGCTCAGAAAACCATCTATTTCTGACCAAAAATGAAATCCAGGCATGAAGAGGGACATCCTCTCACATGTCGTCCACCGACCTCAATTCAACCCGGAACACTGACATAGAAGAACTACAGCGACATGACCATTTCGAGTGCAGTTCGACAATGCGAATATTAAGGCTGTCTAAAGCGTCGAACAGGCTAGCCAGTTATCGGAATAGAGCATCACTCACCCAGAAGATGCTTGTCGTTAATTCTAGTCTTCTCTAAAAAAACGTTGGAGACAGCAGTTGATTTACAGAAAGTGGTTAGAAGGGCCATTGAGTCTCGGCAGCTTTTTCTGAAATAATGAATTCGTTCGAACGTATCTGTATAGGCTCTGAGCATATTGAGGAGTGGAAGCAACTCAAATGTAAACTGGAAAGAAGTCTACTCAATGAATGTGAACAGCGGTGGGCAGCGAAAGCTCCAGAGATGGAAAAGACATCGCTGATGAGCAACAATAGAAAGTTACTCATACTTATCAAGGAAACTGGAATCAAAACGGTAAATTGTCAGTGCGAATATGGCGAAGACAGATCGGTCTGTGGTTCACTTGCAGAGGAGACGACTGGAACAATAGGTGGAACACTTTAAAGAAGTATTCAGCTTGTCTCAGGCTACTATTCCATTGCTAGCAGTGCACTCCGATCCTGAATTGAACATAGAAGTAGGACCCTCAACACTTACAGAAGTCGAAAAAGCAGAACCAGATGGACTAGCTCTAGGGGAATTTAAGGGAGGTGGTAGGGGATTATTGGCCAAACTAACTGTTAACTTGTGTATGAGAGATAGATATGATCCCCTCTGACTAGTCTCAATCACTGATTGTCTCAGTCTTCAAGAAAGGTGAAAAGTCTTCTTGTGATAACTAGAGAGGAGTTAGCCTGACAAATGTAATGTCTAAGATTTCAGGTTCTATTATCATTGAACGTTTAAGTAGAGCTCGGGAGTAGCAGGCGCTAGAAAATCGGGTAGGCTTCAGACCTACCCGTAGGTGTATTGACCAGATGTTCACACCGCCAGATTCTGGAAAACAGGTGCATATACCAACGCCAAACACTCGCTGTATTTCTCGATCTGAGGACAGCGGCATTCGACTATGCTGACCGAGATGTCTTATGGCATTGTCTCTCATTGAAAGAGATGTCGAGTAAGTACATCACTTTGTTGAAGGTTCTGTACTTAAATTGATATGCAGATAGAGAAAAATGACTAGTCTGCAGATACACCAATCAAAATATTCTTTATGTTATCACGTCTACAGTTAAACAGACAGACGGCGGATCAGCCAATCAATATTATTATTTTAAACAATGAACTATCTATTTATATTAGATATATTTCCCTTTATTTTTGAGCTTTCGGTCTTTTTTGACCCCAAAAGATGTTTCTACACGTCCATCGTATCTTCTCTATTAATTAGTCGGGTCGGGAATCAACTAAAAATTTGTCGAACGTTGGTGGCTGACACTCAATATCCGTGCGTCGTTAGCGGCCATAACAGTTTCCAAATCATAACATAAACACTGATGCGTTAGAGCCCTTGGTGAATATTCTTTTCAACTTTATCAGATACATACTTGTGGAGGTGCCCATCGTCATGTGACTTTACAGAGATTAATCTTATCACACAAGGAATCCCTTGTAGTTTAGTTAGGCGAAAATGTAGAGTTTTCTGAACACGTTGAGTGGCAATTTATGTATGTTTTGGATGCGCTTCTCGCTATTAAAATGCAAATTATTGATCCCTGGTTCTTTGTGTAACAGTAGGGAGTGAATTGGTTGAGTACGCGTCTCCTCTATTTATCTGGGAAGTCGGACCAGTTGTAGTCACCATCTGCCTCATCTCAAACTGTCCACCTACGTAGGTTTCGGCTGGAGAACAGTTCGAGGTGGCCAGACTAATACATGACATCAGTCCATGAAGTCTCTGACTGTTGGTTTGGTCCGTGTAGGGAAATGTAGACGTGCCAACAGGAACCGGTGGTGATATGACTCAGAATCGATCTCAGTCGCACAGATGTATCCACACATTATCCTCGTCTTAATAACCTTGCCGAATTCGATTGCTAGTCGATCGCTCAAAGTCAATCATAGGAGCAGAAGAAGAATACATGTAAACTGCAGAGACTATCTACATGAACTGTGTTTAATGTAAGGTTTTGATGTCCTAATAATGCTCAGTGTGATTTTCCCAATAAAAAATTTCCTCAGTTCTCACCTGTATTCACTCTATAATTGGTGTTTTTATCACAGAACAAGATGAAGGTCTCATAATCTTGGATGTCCGCGGTTGTAGATCTGTAGCCCTTTCTGAAGTATTTCGTGGGAGTCGCAGAGCTGACAGACGTCCAGATGCT